TGCAGTTTGTCCCCGGCCCTGGTTGGTCGTGCGGGTGGCAGCCACTCGATGTGTCCCTTCACATCGATGTTTCTCTCTCTCTCTCTCTTCCTCTCTCTCCCTCCCGCTCTATCTGAACAAAAAATGGGAAAATGTCCTCAAGTGAGGATAAAAAATAAAATAAAAAAATAAATGGTGTTGGGAAAACTAGACAGATACATGCAGAAAATAAAACTATACCACCTTCTTACCCTATATACAAGAATAAACTCAAAATGGATTAAAGATAGTGAGAGTTTAAAAGTTTCCAGGAGTAAGGGTCTTTGTTTTTTATTATGCCATTAATTTTTAGTTTTATTTCATTTGTGTTCAGATCAGAGATCAATGTTGTCTGTACTACTTTGCATTTTTTAAATATTTGAGTTTTCTTTGTGGCCTAAAAGAGGGTCAATTTTTGTGAATGTTTTAAGGAACTGGAAGGGAATGCATATTGTTTTCTGTCTGCTGATTCTGATATCAGCAGGTCTTCAGTATCCTTAGATGTATTTTGACCTTATGCAATCTGAGAAGTAAATTGAAATTTAACTATTATTGTGTTTTTATTTCTCCTTAGTTTTTTGGAGTCCTTTATAAATGATGATGCTATGTTATTTGTACATAAATATCCCTCTTATGTTGTTATAAATTGTCCCTTTTCATTGTAAGCAACCTCCCTCCTCTCATTTAATGTTGCTAACCTTTACTCTGAATTTGAGCTTGTCTGATATTATGACAAGCCTGCCAAATATACCTTTGCCCTTTCTTTTCATCTTTTCTGATGCCCTTATTTTAGGGTAAATCCCTGAATACAGCCCTAAGTTTTGCTTTGTGACTAAAACTGCAAGTCTTTTTTCTCGGAATAAATTAATATAGCCCCATTAATGTTATTATTATTTTTTTAATCCTCACCCGAGGACATCTTTTTGTTTGTTGTTCAGATAGAGTAGGAGGAAGAGAGAGAGAAACACCGACGTGAAAGGGACACATCGAGTGGTCGCCACGCGCATAACCCAACTAGGGCCGGGGTGCAACTGAGGTGCATGCCCTTAGCGGGAACCGAACCCAGGTCTCTCTGGACTGCAGGCCGATGCTCTAATCGCTGAGCCAAATTGGCCAGGGCCCATTAATGTTATTTTATGGTATGTTTTCATAGCCATTTCAGTGCTTTGTTTTAATAACAAAGCCTCTCTTATTATGGGCTTTGTGTTTGCCATGCTATGTTTTAAGTGTGTTTCTTCTGATCATTTGGAAGGTTTATAGTTTTATTTAAGCCATATAAAAGCCATATGCTTTTATACCCATAACTTTATATAATCCCTCAGTCCTCTATTTCCTCAGACTGTTTCTGTTGATTCCCTGTGCTGAAAAAGTTTTCCTTTTTGCTCTACCCCTTCTCCTTCACCACACCCATTGTCAAATGAATTTTTTAGTGTGTGTTTTAAAATTTTTTTATGTTTATACATACTTCTATTTCTTGATTTTAAAATCAGCTTTAAATGAGATATATACATATATATATATATATATATTTATCCTCAACCGAGGACATTTTTCCATTTTTTGTTCAGGTAGAGTGGGAGGGAGAGAGAGGAACAGAGAGAGAGAGAAACATCGATGTGAAGGGACACATCGAGTGGCTGCCACCCGCACGACCGACCAGGGCCGGGGACAAACTGCAACCGAGGTACGTGCCCTTAGCGGAAACCGAACCCAGGTCTCTCTGGACCGCAGGCCGACGCTCTAACCGCTGAGCCAAACCGGCCAGGGCTTAAATGAGATATTTTGATCTCTTACATCCCTTTACTTTTCCTTCTCATCCCAATTTTTGCTCATTATACTATTTTTGCAGTACTAGGTTTATAAATCATACATTCTGCTCTGTAACCATAACCCGTTTGTTTCCATCCTAGCCCTGCAGTTAAGCAGATTGCAAATTCCTTCTAGTTATTCCCAAAATGTTTCTCCCCACTCAATTTGTCATAGGTCACATCTTGTGACTTCACCTTACAAAGATCTTGTTTTAGCAATTTTAAGAAGAATTATGGAAGTGATAGTCTCTGAGTTTTTCATGTTCAAAATCTTTGTTGCCTTTACTTGAAAAGCAGTTTAACTGAGTATAAAATTCTTGGGTAATACCTGATTTCTTGGGGAATGTGTAAGATTGCTTCATTGTCTTCTAACAGTGAGTGTTGCCATAATAAAGTCTGAAAACAGCTTGGTTTCTTTTTCCTTATAAGTTATTTAATCACCTTGATTGCAATGATTATTTCTTTGTCTATGAAAGTTATAAATTTCACTGTTATACATGTTGGAATTACCATCCTGGGCTGATATTTCCTGGGACACAGTGCATTGACTTTTGATTCAAGTCTTCCTTTTATCTGGTCATTTTTAACTCTGTAAATATTTGTTCTAATACATTATTCCTATTATATTTCCAATGTTTAATTCTAGGGTGTATAACCACCCTCTTCCCATTGTTCCTAGCAAGGGTTTTACCCATCACACTCCGCCCTCACCTTGGTAGTGAATCTGGCTGGCTCCTCCCGAGAGACCCAGCTTCCTCCTGTCTCGTCTTCAGTGCGTGTGTCAGCCTCGCGAGGTCTGGACTCTCACCTGTCTCTCAGCTTCTATTAAAGATGGTGCTTATGTTTGTATCTCACATTCCTCCTTCCTGTTGGGTAATTTCTGAAAGAAGAGTGGGGAATTCCAACTTTATTTCACCATGTCTAAGCCAGATTCCTTTTCAACCCTTTTTTTCAGACAGTTCTATTATTGTAATGTCACCTATGTTGGGTGACCACACCATCCACGTCCAAACCAGGATACTGTTTGAGTGAAGGAGGGTGGTATTAATATAAGCCAGTACTTGTATTGTAAACTGGGATTATCTCTGGGAAAGCAGGATAATGGTCACCCTACATTTTTTTTTTTTATCCTCACCCGAGGACATTTCTCGATATTTTGTTCAGATAGAGTGGGAGGGAGAGAGAGAAACATCAGCGTGAAAGGGACACATCGAGTGGTCGCCACCCACATGACCCAATCAGGGCTGGGGACAAATTGCAACCAAGGTACGTGCCCTTAGCGGGAACCGAACCCCGGTCTCTCTGGACCGCAGGCCAACGTGCTAACCGCTGAGCCAAACCGGCCAGGGCTCACTCTTTTCATTGTTCCTCCCTCTCCAGGAGTGTTGTACGTCCCTCTACCATCCCTCCGGGATCCCCACACCAGACAGGTATTAGGTGGGGTAGCTCAGGGCCCCAGCCCTTAGACTTATTAAAGGTGTTGCAGATGCAGTCGCTAAACCAGAGTTGGCTTAGCTCAGTTCCTGTCCTCGCACCTCCCTGAATGGGCCACTTCACATGAACTGCAAACCCAGGCAGAGGTGGGCAGCAGCTCTTCCTTTCAGGAGTCAGGGATCCCACTGCAGGCTCTACCGCCCCTTCTCTGCTGAAGCAGTTTTAGTCCTGTTAACCAGAGTCGAATCCCCAGCGTCTCTGCTTGATTCCAGACCTGGGGTCCAGCCATCCAAGGCTTCAGGCCAGCATCCCACCTTGTGTGTCTGTCCCTCCTGTGAGTCTGGTTATATATTTAAAGGTTGCTCTTTTTATATTTCTTTGCTATGTTTAGGGGATGAGTTTACAGTGCTATATTAAAGAGAAACATCTGTATGATGTCTACCTTGGGAAATATTCCATTCATAAATATTAAACCACATACGAAAATCTCAAAAATTCCAAAATCAAGTTACACTGACCCCAATGCAATAAAATTAGAAAGTAACTACAAGTTGATGTGATAAATTACTCAAGTCAGGGAGGAAAGAGGAAATAAACAGCAAAATTACAAACTCTCTAGAAATAAATTTCAACATGCGAGTTATCTATCAAACCCTGTGGAAGGGTCACAAAGGACAACTCAGAGGAAAATCAATCACCTTATGTGAATTTATTTGAAAATAAGGGGGAAAAGGGCTAAAAATAAAAGAATCAAGTTTTCAACTCTAGAAGCTAGAAGAATATAAGTGGGAAGAAGTGATTAATAAAGGCAAAGGCAGAAGTTAAAGGGAGGGGGGAAAAAATGTTTGACCTGGTCAATAAAGCAAAATATTGGTTCTGTAAAGACCAATAAAAAGAGCAAGTGTTCAGTTGAGCATGCCGGGAAAAAGACACTCAACCCTGCCAACTGCTCTCACTTCTGAATTCATGGTTACCCAGCCCTTAGTGCTGCCTGGAAATCCTACAGTATCTTTGTTGAGATATTCTCTCTCTCTCTCTCTCTCTCTCTCCACCCCATCCAAGAAAAGATATTTTCTTTCTCCTTTCTCATCAATCCTCCAACACTTCCTTCCCTGTCCTCATCCTCCGATGCTGATCGAGCTGAGAAACCAGAAGCATCCAAGAGTGAACCTCCACTCTCCCACACAGACCACTACCATCTCCACACATACATCTGCATCCAAATCCAGGGCCCTCACTCCTGTCAGGATGGATGAATGGGTCTGGCTTCCAGCCAAAGCCAGCGTCCCCTGCCCTCGGGCCCCACACCTGCTGATGTCTCTCCAGCCTTCTTCCTGCTCTGCTCTGTCATTAGTTCCTAGCTCTCCACTATCATTTCCCAACAGCATATAAACTTAATGATATTTCTCTTATCTGATATTCTTTTTTTAAAAATCCTCACCCAAGGGTATTTTCTATTTATCTGCAGATAGAGTGGGAGGGAGAAAGGGAGAGAGAGAGAGAAACATCGATGTGAGAGGGACACACTGACTGTTTGCCTGCCCCACAACCCTGACAAGGGCCAGGGATGAACCACAACTGAGGCACGTGCCCTTGACCGGAATGGAACCCAGGACTCATTGGTCTGAGGGCCGATGCTCTACCACTGAGCCAAACCGGCCATGGCTCATATGATATTCTTTTAATCACATTCCTTCCTCCAGCTACTATCCCATTTGTTTCTTTCCTTTCCCAGCCAATGTTCTCAAAAGAGTTGTCTGGCCCTGGCCGGTTTGGCTCAGCGATTAGAGCGTTGGCCCTTGAACCAGAGCCCACGGAGGGAGTGTGCAGAGAGAGGTCTGAGGACTACTCGCTAGGCACCCTTCAAGTTCAAGAGTTCAGGAAGGGGAGGAAGAAGCAGCAAAGGAGACTGAGCAGGTGCGGCCAGCAGCAGCCGGGAGCCAGAAGAGCACTGGAACATGACCCCAACCAGGGCCGGGGACAAACTGCAGCCGAGGTACATGCCCTTAGCAGGAACCGCAGCCAGGACTCTGGTCCGCGGGCCGATGCTCTGACTACTGAGCCAAACTGGCCAGGGCGCCACCACTCTTCTTAAACCCTGTGGTGACTCCTCATTTTACTCTCATTCAGATGAAATGCCAGAGTCTCTCCATGGCCTACATGACCTCACTGCCTAGTGCCACCTCCAACTTTGTTCTTCTTGCTCCTCTTGCTCCTGTAACTTCAGTCATACCACTGTCCTTTCTGTTCCTTGAATAGTGCAGGCTGTGCTTCTGCTTCAGAATCTGCACGAGCTGTTTCCTCTGCCTGGGATGCTCCTCCAGACAGTCACGTAACTCTCCGTCCCTTCCTTCAGGCCTTTTCCAACATGCCACTGCCTTCCCACCATGTTGAAAATCTTAAACTCTCTCTCTCTCTCTCCCTCTCTCTCTCTCTCTCTCACACACACACATCTCTACCCATCCTTTTCCAGGTTTTATTTTTCTTCACAGCCCTCCTCTTTGACATACTTTCCGTTTTACATTTTTAAAAATTGCCTCTCTCATAAACCACAGAATTTATATGCATGTATGCATGACCAATGGACATGGACAACTAAGCCGGGGACGGGGTGGAGGTGGGGTGGGGTGGGGGGTGCCAATGGGGTAAAAAGGTAAAATATCTGTAACAAAAAAATAAATAAAAATTCATAAAAAAAAAAAAAATTGCCTCTCTCCAGCTAGAATGTACGGTCCATGCAGGTAGGCACTTTGTTTCTGTTATGTTCAGTTCTGTTCTGTTTATTCTGCTCATCCGCAGTGCTGAGAACACTGTTTTTACATAGGAGGCTCTTAATAAGTATTTGTCAAATGAATGACTTGTAACAAATTGTTGAATGAATTCATCTCACAAATGTAAGACAGGATCAATATTAGCAAACATGTTAATGTCCTTCTCTGTGGAAACACATTAAGGAAGGAAAACTTTGATAAAATATAATGCTGATTTCTGTTTTCAAAAACTCTTAGTAAGCTGGAACTACAAGAAAAATTTCTAAAAGAGATAGATAATCTATCTACCAGAAACCTTCAGTAAACAGAACACTTCGTGGTGAAACATTAGAAGCCCATTAGAAGTCAAGCCAAGAATGTTTACATTCTTCACAACTATTCTAAGAAGCCAAGAAGAATAAAGGGCTGTAATAAAAGTACCAGGACAAGGCCGAGGCTGGCAGGCGCCCTGACGACTCTGGTGAAGCCTGACAAGTGGGCTGGAGGCCACTGGTTCACTGTGCGAGCTGTGGTAGGGTGCGGGCCCTAGCTCCCCAGGGAAGCCGATCAGGGCCACCCTCCCTTTCTGCACCCTTTGGCAACCAGGGCTCTGGAATGTGACTTGGGCTCTGTCAAAGGATGTATCCACCCAGAAGTCTGGAATGCTTGATGCAAAGAGAGAGAACAGTCCACGTTTGAACCCTTCCTACGATTCTGAAATCTACTCCTATATCATCCCAGTAAATTCCTTTTCTGTTAAGACAGCCAGAGTTGATTTCTGTTGCCTGCAATTAACAACCTCGGCTGGTACACTCGGGTGTCCACAGGTATGGCAATTAAAGCCTTTACTCAAGCTAGATCCCTAGTATTGTGTATTTCTTATGGTGATCCACTCATTCATCTGTCCAACCAACTCTGACCCAGGGACTGAAAAATGAAAATGTTAAAGGTCAGTCAGCATTTACAGTTTAGTTGGGGGGAAAGCTGAACTGCCTGAGCCATTACGACAATCAACCCAGCACTCAAAACCTGAAACAATAAAAACTTTGGCATTTTCGTGTACTTAGCTCACTCTGAGATGAACAACTGAAAGGGCTGGAAGACGTTCCGGGTCAGGATTACATCCTTGGCATAAAAATATACCAAAAGAAAAATTTAAAAGGATTAAGTTTATTTGAGGGTTTTGCTGCCTCCTAGAGGACTGATCTAGTACTGAACTGTGTGTGCTGAAATGCAGAGCCTCAAACTGGAGGCTCCTTTCAACGTAATAAAATTAAAATAAACATATATATTTTTAAAAATTTAAAGACTATTTGAAATTTTGAACAAAACATTTTAGATGTTTTAAGGCAGGAATTAATATCACCTTGGGTCATGGACCCATTTTAAGATGTGATGAAACAATGAGCACTGTCCTAGAAAAATACACCAATCTGCCCTGGCTGGTTTGGCTCAGCGGTTAGAGCCGCGGTCTGGAGAGACCCGGGTTCGGTTCCCGCTAGGGGCACGTGCCTCGGATGCAGTTTGTCCCTGGCCTTAGTTGGGTCATGTGGTTGGCAACCACTCGATGTATCCCTTTTGTGTCCATGTTTCTCTCTCTCTCTCTCTCTCCTTCCCACTCTATCTGAACAAAATATCAAAAAATGTCCTCGGGTGAGGATGATATATATATATATATATATATATACACCAATCCAACACACTTCTAGGGATCCAGGACCACAGAGCATATCCAAGTGTAGTCCCTGGTGAAGAACCTCTGTTTTACATGGGAAGTAACTGAAACCTCAGAATTCCATTCAATTTCAAATACAAATACAATTCAAAAACAGGTTCAACATTTGTCTGCACAAAATATTTCTAAACTGCCTCCCCGTTCCAGTGAGGTGTGGCTCCACAGAGACACAGTGTGAGAAGGTGGAGTGGAATTCGGAGCAGAGAGGCAGTCAGGCCAAACCGAATCTCCCTTGATCTCCAGGACAATTCTGAGGACCCCTCTGCTCGCTGCAGAGCGGTGGGCAGCAGTGAGCAGCGGGCAGGCCCTGCTGGAACACAGCATGGGTCATTTACCATGTGTGTGGCATTGGATCTCAGCCTCAGTTTCCCCAGACACAAAACTAGCATAGTAATGGCATTGACCTCGAGGGGTTAGGGTGAGGGTTAGATGAGATAATAAATGTAAAGGATACGTCCAGTGCCTGATATAGAATAAATGTCTTATGAATGTTAACTGTTCATTACATAGAGATAAGTTTCCTGCCCAGGGCTTGGCAGGACGTTACACAGACTCTCGCCTTTGCATTGCAGCTTCAATATTTGCGCAAGAGAAGTGGTCCAGGTAAGGATGGCCAACTGACAGGGTGCCAGAATCTCCTTCGTCTGAAATATAATAAATTATCAAAGTATAGGGAGAAACAGTCAAAAGTCACAGTGGCAATTAAAGAAAGGGGATAGAATCCTATACAATAAATGGCAAAGATTGGCAGCCAGGGAAGAAACCAGAGATTCTGGTAACAATGAACATGGTTCCCAACTCCAACCCAAACCCCAGATGAGGCAGGAGAAAGAGCTGCCTGAGGGAGTATGCGGACAGAGGTAGAAATAACCCAAATACCCATCAAAAGATGATAGATGAGCAAAATATGGTATGTATATATAATACAATATTATTCAGCCTTACAAAGGAATGAAATGGACATGCTATGACATGAATGAACCTTGTAAACATTATTCTAAGTAAAATAAACGAGACCCCAAAGGACAAGTATTATGTAATTCCACTTACACTTGGTACCTAGGATAGTCAAGTTCATAGAGACGGAAAGTAGAATGGTGGTTCCACAGACTGGTAGAATGAGATATGAGAAGTTGGTGTTTAATGGGGACAGACTTTCAACTTGGAAAGATGAAAAGGTTCTGGAAACAGATACCGCTCTCCACTAATTGTGCAACAATGTGAATGTACTTAATGCCCCTGCACTGCACACTTAAAATGGTGAAAATTATAGATGCTATGTTATGTATATTTTACCACAGTTCTTTCTAGAAAGAGTAACAGCCCCCACCTCCACACACCATGGTATTTCCACAGAGTGAGAAGGCCCACCAGAGTTCTTCAATATTGGGATTCTGTGTTGAGTTGAAAGAAGCAACTACGCCCACAATAGTGGGATCTTCTACATTTGATGAACTAAGCAGATTCTTACCATCAGAGAAGGAAACTTTAGAAGGGCGATGAAGGTCATAGTACCCATTCAGACTTGAGATTTCAAAGGAAACCTACAGACCTAAAGGTATGGAAGAGCCCTTGGAAGTTAGTTAACTCAGCCTCCTTGTGTTATAGAAGCAAAAATGAGATATAAAGAGGGGGAAAGAATGTTGACATAAGAAACATCCAAACCTGTAAATAATTTTTATGAGTTTATTTAAGCCAAATTGATGATAAATCTGGGAAGGAAGATCTCAAATGGTCTGGAGAATGACAGTCTTACAGTTTTTTTTTTTATACATTTGGAATTAAGGTGGAAAGGTAAAAAAAATTACATTTTCCCTTAAACGCACTGGTTAGCTGTCGACAAAACTCAGGAACAAGTAGGAAGAATGTGTTGTTGGGAGGAAAATTTTCCTCTATATGTCAAGGTTCTTTCAGCTGATCTAAAAATTAAACCCACATGAGACAGAGCAACAAGAGAAAATAACCAACTTAATTCCATATGTACGTATGGGAAACCCACTTACACGGGAGAGTCGGGGACAGGAAGGAAAAATGAGGTATACAGGGCATTCCGAGCTAAGGATGAGGTAAGGTGCCTCAGGGTCAGAAAGGAGGAAGGTCGCTGCAGACAATAAGAAGAGCAGATGTTCCTAATTAGTAGTTTGCCCTGCACTATAGGTAGGTCAAAGGTTATCTCTGATACATAATTCGTTCCAGGAGGACGGTCGAGAACCGAATTGTTCGAGAACCGAAGCAATGAAACCAATAGGAAAGCGTGACTCCACAAAGCGTGACTCTCTCCACAAAGCGTGACTCTCTCTCTGCACTCACACTGAGGACGCAAGCAAGGCGCGCTGGGCCGAATGAACGCCATTCGGCTCAACTCGGCTCATCTCGGAAGTTCGAGTTCCAAATATTTGTTCGGATTCCGAGACAAAAGTTTCTCGAATCTCCATTTGGTCGAAAACCGAGGCGTTCGAGAACCGAGGTATCACTGTACTCTCTTCTGCGTAGCTAGGCCACTAATTTAAAATCCTCTAGGTAGTTAAGAGGTGGGGGATGGGTGGTAGTATAGAAGTTTCTCTTCAGCCCCCAGGGTCTTGGTTGCCTTGAGCTAAAAATATATACCCTAGAATCATTACAGGGATCAAATCATTTCTAGATCTACAGATGGAATTAGATAAATGGCCAAGATTAAGACAGATGCATTGGTTTTGGGGTCAGACAGATGCATTCCAAACCTGGGCTCTGCCACTGTGGCAGACAGAGGTTGCCCTCTGATACCTATCTTTATCTTCTAATATGGATCTAGAAACCCCAACTATTTAAACTTATTGTTTCTGTAGAAAAAGACCCTGAGTCAGTCTGTGAACCCGCAACCCACAGCCCTGCTTGCTCTGAACCTATTAAAACATGGCTTCGTCTGTATGTCCCCACAACTTCACCTTTCCCTCAAACCCTGAAATAACTATCCTATTCTTTGCTTTGTCATCCCCATGCACTCTGGAGGCAACAAGCTGATTTTGCCGGTTGTTTGTCCTTGGTGCCTTAGGCTGCCTGGGCCACAGCCATGTGCTCTGACACTTCTCTGAGTATAGGTTTTGCCCCCAGTAAACTCAGTGCAGTATTTGTATAATTTGGTGTTAAGAGTGTGGGGGATTGTGATCCCCTCTCATGATAGTCTCCTCAAATTCTTGTCCAGGGATTTCCTCCTCTACTTCTTTAACTCCCACTAATCTGTAGGAACCAAAAGCTGAAGGGTCCCAACTTCCTCCCTTACACACCATGACCACAGGCTGCTCTCTCAGAACCCTGATGACAGAGTCTCTTACTGCAGACTTCCAAAGCAGCCATGCCCCGCTCTCCCACCTTTTCCAGACTCAGACCGAGGTGATCACAGCACCCAGGAGTGACACAGGGAGTTTGCCATGCGGTCCTCTGGAGCTGTGCAGTAGCCCGCTGCTCGCACCTGCAGAGAACAGCATGGCATTGCAGGAGCCAGAGAACGAATCTCAGGGAGGCAGGGACGATGGTCAAGTAGGTTGCCAAAGGTAGGTAGAGGGCACCAGACCTCCCTGACATTCCTCTAAAACAGGGGCTTGTGTAGTGATGATCCCTGGGTTGATTGATGCCTCCCTTCCTGGGGACATGGTCTCTGCCTCCAATTGCCCTGAATTCCTGTGTGTGAGCTGCTGAGATCCTTTTCACAAGGTCCTCTGTCTGCTGAGAGCTAGTGTTGACCACTGTAGGTACCATAACAGCAGAGTGTAGAGAGAAGCAAGATGAAGTGGCAAGAAAACAGGCTTCCAAGCAGGAAACTTTTTTTGTAAAAAGCCTGAGAGTAAATATTTAAGGCTTTGAGGGTCATTTGGATTCTTGCAACCACTCAACTCTGCTCCGATGGTGTGAAAGCTGCCATTGAAAATATGGTAATGAGTGGGTATGGCTGGGTTCCAATAAACTTTATTTACAACAACAGGCAATGAATGGACTAGATTTGGCCCACAAGCCATAGTTTGCCAGCTCCTGCTTTGTAATCACCCAGGTCTGAGTTTGAATTCTGCCTTATACTGATTATCTACAGGACCATGGCAAGGCTCTCTGAGCATCAATTTCCTCTTTTGTAAAATTAAAATGAGAACACCTGTCACTCAAAGATGTTAGAAGATTCTGAGATAATGCATAAAGGGTTCTTTGCCCATAAACAGTATTCAGTCATGGATAGCTGTATCACTACAAGTAAGACAGTTTAGAAGCAATTAAGTCAGCAAGGGCTGGACCAGTGAGCTGGCGGTGAGGAAAGACCAGACAAAAGTTCCCTTTGGCCCCTTTATACACAGATCACCTCCCAAAATAGCACCTTCCCCTTTCTAGGATAGGGACTTCACCATCCCTTCTCACCTTGTGTTGGGCATGGTACTGCCTCAGTCTTTCTAGCTCCCAGGTGGCACAATCAGCAGCCGATCTGATTCGAGAAGCATGCACAAAGTGGATGCACACGACTGAGCTAATAGTTCTTGTTATCTCTGCCTGTTGGCATAGTCATTGTTGCCTGGTGCAATGAGGGCAAGGTACCTCTCTGCACATTCATCTGCTATAAAAAATTCTTACAAACATTTGTGTCAAAAAGCAGTGACAGACTTTGTTGTCTTCTACATGGAAAGTGCATCCTCACCCAGCCGGTGTGGCTCAGTGGATTGAGCATCGTCCCATGGACTGAGAGGTCCTGGTTCCATTCCTGGTCAGGGTACAGGCCCAGGTTGTGGGCTTGATCCCCAGTAGGGGGCATGCAGGAGGCAATCGATCTATGTTTCTCTCTTCACATTGATATTTTTCTGTCTCCTTTCCTCTCTCTCTAAAAAATCAATAAAAACATTTTTTTTTTTTAAAAAAGAAAGTGCATCCTCTGGACATCTTACTTTGATGAATCCCGCTTCAGGAGGGTTCTACCCTCTGCTTTGTGGCTCTTACGTGACCTTGCTCGACTTGAAAATAAAAGCTCTCTATGTGTGTCCTTCATTTCTGCATTCAGACACCTGCATCGTGTTTATTTCCTGACTCTCCTTAGTCAGGGCAAAGAAAACTGGAAACCTCTCAATCACATTCTCAAAAAGACGTCCATGTGAAATCCAATTATTATTTCAACGAAATGATTTATAAGATTTGTCAAACCAAATATTTATGGCATAAAGAAAAGGGGCTTTGGAAGCAGAAAGAACAATATTCCAATCCTCTGCTCTTCATCAACTGAAAGGTCTTAAACATGTCATTTAACCTGAAGACTAGTTCTCTCATTCACAAAATGAAGCATCCCAGATTATCATGAGAATTAAAAGTAACATTAATCAAATGAAAAATTACTTGGACAATATCTGGCATAAGTGTGCACTCCACAAATGTTAGTCTCCTTTGAGTGTGTGTTACATGCCATTGAGTTGACTCTGACTCCTGACGGCCCTATGAATGAGTGATATCTTGAACTGTCCTCAAAAAACCAGCTCAGCTCCTTATGTCTAGGACTTGTTTATGGAGCCAATCCATTTCATATGTGGTCTTCCCCTTTTCCTATCGCCTTCTATTTTGCCCAGCATTATAGACTTTTCCGAAGAACCCACCTTCTCATGATGTCCCCAGAGTAAGACCGTTTCAGTCTGGTCATTGTTGCTCTCCACCGATGTTTCAGGCTTAATGGTTCTAGGACCCACTTTTCGTCTTTCCGACAGTTCAGGGAATCTGTAGAGCTCTCCTCTAACATGATATTTCAAACAAATTGGAGGTTAGTCTCTTCTCTCTATCCTTTTACCTAGAAACTGAGGGTAGACAGGCAATTAAAAAAGGGAACAAGAGGATTGATTACAAAGGTTCAGGCTCACTAGTCTTCTTTTGGATAAAGGGTGGGGAGAAAGAGACAAAAATATTTTGTTATTTAAATTTTTTCCTGTTTTGCCCTGGCCAGTTTGGCTCAGCGGTTAGAGCGTCAGCCTGCGGTCCGGAGAGACCCGGGTTCGGTTCCCGCTAAGGGCACGTGCTTCGGTTGCAGTTTGTCCCCGGCCCTGGTTGGTCGTGCGGGTGGCAGCCACTCGATGTGTCCCTTCACATCGATGTTTCTCTCTCTCTCTCCCTTCCTCTCTCTCCTTTCCACTCTATCTGTACAAAAAATGGAGAAATATCCTCGGGTGAGGATAAAAAAAAAAAAAAAAAAAAAAGAAAATAAATTTTTTCCTGTTTTATTTTATTTCCATCACCATTTATCACCCCTGTACCCTCTTCCACCTCCACTCATCCCTCTACGTCCCCTACCACTACACTGTTGTCCATGTCATGAGTTCTTTCTCTTTTTTTATTTTATGCTCAATTCCTCCACTCCTCCATCGCCTACCCCAGAGCTGTCTGTCTATTCTCTATCTATGAGCCTGTCTGTATTTTGCTTGAGAGTTCAGTTTGTTCACTAGATTTCACATATGAGTGAAATCATATGGTACTTGTCTTTCTCTGACTGGCTTATTTCACTTAGTACAATGATCTCCAGGTCCATCCATGTTGTCACAAAGGGTAAAATGTTCTTCCTTTTTACAGACAAGTAGTACTCCATTGTGTAAATGTACCACAGCTGTTTTATCCATTCCTCTACTGATGGGTACTTGGGCTGCACCCAAATCTTGGCTATTGTAAATAACGCTGCAATAAACATAGGAGTGCATATATTCTTTAGAATTAGAGTTCCAGGTTTCTTCAGATAAATTCCCAGAAGTGAAATCACTGGGTCATAAGGCAGTTCCATTTATAATTTTTTGAGGTGACTCCATACTGCTTTCCACAGTGGTTGCACCAGTCTGCATTCCCACCAACAGTGCACGAGGGTTCCCTTTCTCCATAGCCTCACCAACACTTGTTATTTGTTGATTTATTGATGATAGACATTCTGACAGGTATGAGGTGATATCTCCTTGTGGTTTTAATTTGCATTTCTCTGATGATTAGTGACATTGAGCATCTTTTTATATGTCTATTGGCGATCTGTATGTCCTCTTTGAAGAAATATCTGTTCAACTCCTTTGCCCATTTTTAATTGGATTGTTTAGTTTTTTGGTGTTGAGTTGTATATGTTTTTTTTATATATATATATATATATATATATATATATAAATTTTGGATATTAACTCCTTATCATAGGTATCACTGAATATGTTCTCCCCTTCAGTGTGTTGTCTCTTAATTTTGCTGATGGTTTCCTTTGTTTTTCAAAAACATTTTAGTTTGATGTAGC